GGCCAGGAAGCATCGGGGCTCCGAGGCTTCATGCACATTTCCAGACACTCGCCTGCGGGCGTTAGGCGCCTCCGGCTTCCTCCAATGGCCTCTTCGTGGTTTAAAAGAGGCAGAGTATCATGCTCTCTGTTTGGTGGCCTGCGAGGGTCCTAGGTGAGCCCATCTTTCCCATGGGAACCAAGGAAAACGCAAAGCGAGGGCTGATGAGAGGCTCCAGGCAGCTCTTCTAGAACGATCCGGCATCTATGGGCTATTTCATGCCTTTGACGTTCCATGTGTCTGGCAGAGACGCCTACTTTCCCAAATAAGCGGTATTCCCCCACCTAAGTGCAATGGTCAGTTTGGGGGTTTAAAGTCATTACCGACTTTAGGGATTGAAGAGCAAAGGCCACGCCATGTCACATGGCGGATGGTATCACCATCGCCTCGTGTGGGCAAGTGTCTGGCTTGGCTTCGGGAAGATACTGACAGAATCATGTCACTTCAAAGCCTGATAAAATACTGAAGGACAACAGGCCACTAAGCAATATTCAGAACCATCTTTGCCCACGGTTCTGGTCTCGCCTCGCTCTGGTTAGACAGTGACCAAATGCCCCGTTTGACTTTCTAGAGTCTGGACTCGAGGGGCAGGGGAGGAAAGCGAGACAAATTTGTCCAGGCTTCTGCTCTGCTTGGAAGACGCTGGTCCAGGGCAGAATCGGAAACTCAGATTTTTCAGTATATCCTCAACAATGCAGGTTTACAAGCGATTCCCACGTGCCCTGTGTTTGGACCTGGCCTCGTCACAGCTCGTCCAGCTTAGAGAAGAGGACCGCGCCAAGTCTGCTCACCAAGGCCCTTCCTCACGCCACGCACAGCACAGGGGTCTGAGCACAAGCCAACGGCCCCCGGCCCACTCTACCTTGCCGCGTTCTCCATCGGTGGGCTCCGCGGCTCCATCGTCTTGAGAGTTCAGCCCGTGACTGCTCACGTCCTCCTTGGCAAGTCCTGGGCGAGCTGTCCTCCCCAAGCAAGACAGCGGGATCAGCACGGGGAGGTGGCTCCCGAGGGAGTGGACAGCAGAGCGATTAGTAATACACCGGGGACCATTCCAAAAGCATCATCGCGCCGGAGCCCCAGCTCCACCCTTTAGACTACAGCGCCCTCTGGAGGACTGGGGTCCACAGCATCGCTGCTCAAGCATTTCTGTGCTGGAATTTTCATCTTTTCTTTCAAGGAAACCGACATGAAATGGAGTCAGGTTTCCAGTTCTGTTCTCAGCTCTTTGCTTGTTTTAGTTCACTGGAATTTTTACTCACAAGAGTTCATAATCACCCATGTTCATCATCCCTTCCTACCAAATCCATCCCAACTTAGAACGGAGAGACTTTCTTGCCCTGCTGTGCACCTCCCCGCACCCCAAAAATCTGTGTGTGGAGGTTTATGGAGGGGGAAGTCAGATGGCTCAGGAAAAATGCAAGCGTGTTTCTGTTCGAGTCGAAAATATAAATGAAACGCATTTTTCAAATAAAGAATAAATGTATCATTTGCTTGTTACCTATGTTAAGTAAATTTTAAAGTTTATTTCCAGACTTTATCAATTAGAAAAATTTGGTTTGGCAAAATTGAATCGTGAGGACTTAAAAATATCAGCATGCTTTTGCTCTCGCTTAGCGTTTTTAGGTAACACAGTAGCCCGTGGAATTTTCTTCACAAATACATAAGCTCAGCAACGAACTCAGAGACTGTCTGCCTTATTCACTACTGTGCCTCAGACAACGCGTGGTGTCAGAAGATGCTCCATGATTGGTGAGTGAGCGAATGCGTGAGTGAATGAACGACGGAATAACTGATGAATGAATGAATGAATGAATGAATGACCCACGATCAATTTCCTCCCTTTCCTGACGTACGAAACTCTTTATGTGTTATGAACTAAAGCATACCAGTAGCTATCAAATTGTTCCCTTTTATTCCTCACCGATGCAAGTCCAGTAAGTTTTTTAAATGAAAGCATTAAGTTGGACTCATAGGTCTAAGAATCTGAGAATCCACCACACAGGTAAAGTCAAAGGTACAAACACCCGCAGGTGCCCATCCAGGGTGCAGTACACAGCAGTGGCCACTAGAGGGAGCCACAGAACTTTCCAAAGAGCAGCGGCAGACAGGAAAGCCAACCAGCATGTGATTCTGCTCCAAGCATCACCCAGCATAGGTCCCCGCCATAAACTTGTTATTGCTACTGCCCTGTATAAAGTCCGACTCACCAAAACAAGCTGAGACAAGAGTAGAGCGGCAGCTTTAGAAAAGTGACCTCACCTCCCTGCTCAAAGAGTTCACACCTCTGCACACACACTCTCTCCAGCTTTAAAAATCAAATGTAAATCTGGGGGAGGGGGAGGTAGATGGGGAAAAAAATGGCCATATATGTGTTGACAGAAGCAAATCTAACTATGGGCGGTGAACACATAATAAATTAAAAAATAATTATTATTAAGAAAAAGAGAAAAGGAAATGTTAAATCGAAGAAAACATTTAATAAAAATTCACCGGCAAAGAAAAGCGAAACTATAACCTAAAGGATGAAAAATGCATTTTTAAAGCCATGTACAATTATCTTCTGCCTCCAGCAACGTTTTTATAAGAGGACATTCGACGGCCGACATATACAATTTCCTCTCCTGCAGCAGAGAAGCCGAAGGCCTCTGCAAGCTAACCAGGAAGTCACATCAGACAGAATCATAATCCTGTTGGTCCAGTTTCAAAGGCTTCATGTGTAACTGAGTGTAGGAAGAAAAGAATTTCTCACAAACTCCTTCTCCCAAAAGATCCGAATAACCCTGCAAATGTTTTCAGGGCCATTAGAAGCCGCAGATGTTATCACAGGCAGGATCGTGCAAACTTTAAAGGACCTAGTCCGCAAAGGGCACTGCTTCGAAAATGGATTTTAATACATTGGAAAGGAACAGAAGTTAGTTTCTCTTTGAAATGTTTTAAAACTGTCCATGCCTTACTTAAAATATAAAAAGTGATCGGCTCCACCGGCATTCTTGCTTATAGTTCTATTTCTACGGCACGTGAAATTGTAGCAAACCTCCAAAATTACACTCAGAAATAAAAGGGACAGAAGACAGAACTGAAAACCGGAACTATTCAAGAAAGCAATTCTAAGAATAACCGACTAATTAAAAGCTAAAATTAAGTGGCCTCATGAGATTTCCAGGGAAGAGAAGATTCTAGAACCTCTATTGTTGGGTGACCTGTGGGAAAAATCTAATGGGCTCGCACTTGCTGACTTCCAAGAAGAGGGAAACAGACTAGAAACCGAGACAGTGCAGAGCTCGTCGGTGATGGCGTCTGCAGCCCTCACCCAGCACCCGAAAAAGAAGCCTGCCATGTCACCACTGACGAAGCTGCTGGGAGATGCAGCTGGCTGGCTGAAAAGCTTCCTGAGTGAATTCCAGTCCCGACTGCTGGCCCGCGGTGGGGCAGAAGGTGTGGCGAAACTGGGAACCAGCCGTGATTTATACGGGGAGTGAAAAGACCATCATTTAAATTTCTTTTTAATTATGACGTTTTCAGTAATCTAATTATATCCTAATTACAGTGATGACCCTTCTCGCTTCAAGGGAATCATGCACGCTTCTGGAACATTCTCCGCGAAAGTCCTCTCATTTGCCGTTTTAAAGAGAGTCGGCAAATCGCAGAGTGACTTGAAGTGTCAGCTCTGGCGTCTGACCTGGGGCTGGCTGTGCTCTGGCCGAGCCACACCGACGCTCAGCTCCTGAAATAACCCCAGTGAGATTCTCTTGAGAGGAACCTCCCCAGTTACCGGGAAACAACGTCCCCTTGCTCAGCCCCTCGGGCCTGTGCGGGCTCCACGTGACGCCGTGTTCTGCTATGCAAGCCATTATTCCTTCTTTGGCCCGCCAAGGAGCTGCGACGTCTCTGACACACAGGCTGCGTGCAGGGACACTTGCCAGTAACCCCAACTGGCCGGGCAACTCAGCACAGGGGGTCCAGGCGGCTTCCCTTCACCCCTAACTCTCGATGCCACAGGGCAAGTCACGTAACCGCCTCACTGGGATCTGAGATGCAGCCTCGCCGTGGCCCCTGTCCCAGGCGCCCGGTCACCCGTTAATACCGTAAAGACCCATTAAGCCTGCCAGCTGGCGGGCACCAGAACAGCCCAAACTCCAGGCGCTCTTCCCTGTCCCTGCCCGAGGTGGATGGGTGACCCACGCGGAGACCGAGCCAGGGCCCTCGGCTGCCCAGCGCCGCTAATGAGCTACCTGACGCCGACAGGAGCGGCTTCCACTCTGTCCAGTGAACCCGAGCTGTTGGTACCAGCCGGGTCTCCCAGCACCCACGGTGCCTGCAGCCCAGGGGGCCCCGCGCGCACCCAGCCCTGCCCTCTGGGGACAGGCGGCTGGGACGCTGGCCAAAAGCCACCTGGACAAATGTGTCTGCCACCTGCGCGGCCCTCCAGCTTCTGACAGGGCGACGCCCCCCCTGCCTCCCCTGGGACCCGTCATGCAAATCCCCTCCAGCAAAACGCCACCGGCAAACTCTCGACGGCACCAGTGGTGACGACCCCGAACGGAAGGCGGCGGGCGCGTCTGTAATGGGGGCTGCCGAGGTGGACAAGGGCGTCTCCATCCGGCGTCACGTGACGCTGCCCGGGATGGGGACAGGTACGGGCAGCGCACTGTCCGCGGGATGCTGCCGCTTCCTCCGGTTCCCCCCCGAGACGGGGACAGGAGGCTCGCGTTTCACAGTGAACTCGCCCGTCTTTGGATTTTTACCCGGGTGCACACACTGCCTACCTGAAATGACGGTTTCAACTGATCTTCTGCGGAGAGGGCCCTCACCTTGCGTGTTGGGATGGTCTGACCTCATTCTAACAGGAAGCCGTGGGGAGCTTCTGAGTTAGCGCAACTGGGGACTGCTCCTTGGGCAAGGTCGAGATGGTTCATTCGGGAAGGTGCGTGGACGGGGGACCGGACGCCACCCCGCAGGTGTCACTCCCTCCCTCGTTCCTGCAGCGACGCCGGACCTAACGCGCGGGCGGGCCGGACTCGGTCCGCGTAAACGAATCGGCATCCGTGCCGGACACCGCGAACGACGGGGACAAAGTGGACGTTTGTGCCGCCACTCACAGTTCGGAAGTCTGGACTGCTGAAGCTGGACCTTCAGCCAGATGCTGCTTCGCTGGTCCCAGGCTCCCGGGGGCTCCACCTCCCACAGGCGGCCCCGCTCCTCCGGCCGGGCCCGCAGGAACCTCCTGCAGACTGAGAAAGGACGCAGCCCGCGTCAGGCAGGCCACCCCCCGCACGGGCAGCCTCTCCGTGTCCTCAGCCAGGGCCACTTCTGGCGCCCTCTGCAGCCCGGCTCGCCCCAGCGCTGAGCCATGATCCATAAAAGCCACATCCCGCCACCCTCGCCTGCCCGCCCCCTTTCATCCATCTCATTTTTGTCAATGCTGGTGGCCAAAGCAGTATCCCACAGGCTGGGCGCTTAAAGAACAGACGTTTTTGTCTTGCAGCCTGGAGACTGGAAGTCCAAGGTCAAGGCGTCCGCAGTCCGCTTTCTCCTGAGGCCTCTCCCCCTGGCTCGCAGGCGGCCGCCTTCTTACTGTGCCCTCACGGGGCCTTCCCTGTGAACCCGCCTGTGTTCTCACTGTCCCTTCTGACAAAGCCTCTTCTTGCCAGTCCTACTGGATTAGGACCCCACGCGAATGACCTCATTTAAGCTAATTACGTCTTCAAGGTCCCCACCTCCACACAGTCACGCCGGGGTTAGGGCGTCAGCGTAAGAACTGGGGGTGCCCGATTCACCCCGTAACCTAGCCGCACCTCAGGCATCACCCTTCCTCCCTCCGAGCCTCCTCAGCCCTCCTCCCCCACGGAACCTCCCACAGGCGCCTTGGTTCTAGGGTCCCCTCAGCGTTTGGGGACTCTGACGCCCACGTGTACAGGTTAGCACGATCCCAAGTGCAGCCAGGTGGGAAGCTGCCCCCAGCCCTGCGGGTGGCACGGGGACCGCACCGGACCCTCCCCCAGCGGGCGGGGCCTGGGGCGACAGCACAGGTGGAAGCCTGCAGAGCCGACGCTAAGTGCCCGAAAGGCCCAGCCAAGGCCGCGGAGTGCTGGATAGAAGCTCCTGATCTCCCATCTCGACGGCTAATTTCAACACAACAGGGAGAGCCAGTTTCGCATTTAGAATTCTTGGACGCCTTGGAGTTTTGCACCAGAATGTGACAATACCCAGGGCCGGCCCCCGCCCGCAGCCCCCCCGCTTCTGCTCCCACCCCACACCGCCAGGGGCTTGTGCACACAAGTGTGGACATCGTGCGCATGCCCCACCCACGTCCCACTGACTCTGTCCCCGGGCCCCCCGACGCCCATCCCCGGGGTCTAAGAGGACGCAGCTGGAGGCGTGGTCAGCCCTTTGGTGCACAGATCCAGGTCTGGAGTCCACCCAGGTGCTCGGCAGCCACTGGCGGGGATACTGGGGGCCTGGTCCCCGAGCCAGTTTAGAAAGAGGGGCCTGGACCCAGGTGGACGCATCCTCCAGGGCTCCCAGTTCCCTCACCTGGGGAGAGGGGGGAGCAGCCCTTTGCAGCCTCCGCAGCGCGGCCTGGGCAGGAGGCCCTCTCGTCCAGTGCACGGCAGGACCGTGCTCACGACGGCCGGCCAGCAAGGACGCATGCCTCCAGCTGCTCCCTGCCCTGCGCTCTGCCCGCTCCCCGCAAGGGGACGGGGGTGCATGCACCCTCAGCTGGGCAGCTGAAACCCCAAGGCACGGAGCCTGAATCAGAATCAGCACCTTCAGATCGGCTTTCTCCGCCAGGGAAGACACAGGTGGCACAGCCGGGACCCACAGACCCCGGGGCAGCCCCGCCCCCGGGGCAAACCCGAAGGGACTGCGCCGGGGGCCGAAGAAGCAACTGAAGCAAGAATGAGGAAGGGTGGACAGTTCCGGGGTGCGGACAGAGGACCGGCTGCCTGGTTTCTGGAAGTTTCCAACACCTCAAAGCGAGCGACACAGTGCAGGAATCCGTGAGCCCTCTTTGAAGGAACTCAAGGATCTTCAGTTTCATTAGAGACTAAGAGCTTGAAAAGACACAGAAAGGACTAAACCCCTTGAGGAAAATACTGGTGACTTCGGAGCAGGAGAAGTTTCTTCTTCTCTCCCGTCTGCTGTTTTCCCCGTACCGGGGCCCAAAACACCTGCACGACCAGGAGCGAGGCTTCGTGGGGACGGGGGATGCTGCGAGGCGCTCGCCGGAAGTGCCACCCTTGCTGACGTGGGGTGTGCTTAACATCAGAACTTTTCGAACTTCCTTGGACAAATACCTTCCAGAACGTGGCCGGGGACTGAGAGTTCATTTTATGTGTCGGCTTGACTGGGAGAGGGGCAGACGTGTAGTCTGATGCATTCTGGGCGCGTCCGTGAGGGGAGCATCGGGATCAGCAGGCTGAGGAAAGCGGATGGCCCTGTCTGGGGTGGTGGGCCTCGTCTAATCAGTCGAAGGCCTGATTATAGCACGGAAAGGCTGCATCCCAGGGGGCGCCCCCCACCCAGCTGCTCCAGCTCGGACGTGGCTCTTTTCCTGCCTTCAGGCTCAGACTGAAACCACGGCTCTTCTGGGCTCTCGAGCCCGTCAGCATTTGGACTTGATGACACCATCGTCTCTCGTGGATCTCCAGCCTGCCGACTACAGATCTCGGGACGCCTCGGTCTCCACGTTGTGTGCGCCAACTCGCGACAGCAAACCTCCGCCCTCTACGTCTGGCCGAGCCCGAACGACGCTGGCCGGAACTGTGCATGGCCACTTCCACGCGGATCGCTGTCGGCTGACTTGCCCGGTTCTGACCCACATTACTCAAGGGCCAGCGCCACAGCTGGGAACCCACATACGTGGGTTTTCAACTGCATGAGAGGTCAGAACCTGTCCCCCCATGTTGTTAAAGGGTCAACTAGGTATGCAGGCAGGTGGATGGATGGATCGATGGATGGATCCATCCATCCATCCACCCATCTATCCATCCATCCATCCATCCATCCATCCATCCATCCATTCATCATCCATCCATCCATCTATTCATTCCATCCATCATCCATCCATCATCCGTCCATTATCCATCTCTCCACCTATCCATCCATCC